GAACATCAACAGGAGAGGAAATCAAAAGCCACACATCACAAATATCTGAACGGGTAACAATGGGACTAAAACAGTTCAATAATATACTTGGAAAATTTAACAAGATATAACCGATCAGATAATGACTCTAAGAAGTGAATGCTCAGTGCATCTAGAGAAGACACTAATAAAAATTTAGCAGAGCCAAAGAAAAAGGTTCAAAATATAACTCTCCAGTATAGAAAAAAATGAGAACTCATAAAAATATTTCAAACAGAAATTCAGAATGAAAGTACAATTGAATATATGGGCAGCAGAAAACAATGAATGTGGAGAGAAACATCTGATCTAAGGAACAGGTCTGTGTTGAAAGATTAATTAATTAGAAGTACCTTAAAACAACATTAAAGCATAAAAAAGATTCATCATTTGCAGATGACTCAAGAAGACTAAGAAAAAGTAATTGAAATTAATAAAAAGTTAAAAGATGTCATAAAAAGAATTTTTAAACACTGTTTATAAAAGTAATGGCAGAAAATTCTCCAGACATAGGAAAAGAACTGAACATATAAATAAATAAAGCATATAGGATTTTGAATACCACATAATAACTAAGATACCAGAAATACAAAAATAGAACAAAATCTTAAAGGCTGCTAGAGATCAGCAAGAGTCACCTTTAAAAGAAAACAAAATTGCAATTCTTCTCAACTTGAACCTTAAAGGCATGAAGAATTTAAAATAGTGTTTGAAGCTCTAAAAGAGAGTAAATGTTAACCAAGACTAATATATTCTGCAAAATTATTTTTCAAAGTTGGTGGAGAAATAACTTATTTCCTTGATAAAGACAAGCTAAATAGTTTCATGACCACAAAACCAACAGTCCAAAAAAAGTCAAGAATAACCTAGCAGCAGACAATCAAGCTAGCAATTACAAAAACATACAAGAATATAAATGCATCAAGTAGGACTAGCAGTTAAATAGAAGGAAAAGAAATTAACACAGCAACAGGACAAAAGTACGGTGACAGAAATAAGTCAATATCTATCAATTATAACTATCAATGTAAATGGGCTCAATTCATAAATTAAAAGACAAAGATTAGAAGAGTGGACCAAGAAACAAAATCCAATAGTACTCTATGTACAAGAAATATATTTAATACAAAAAGAAAAGAAAAATGAAAGGGTGCAGAAAATATTCCATCTAATGGAAAAACTGATGTAGCCATTTTATTTTCAATTTTTTTTTTTTGGTGGAACTGGGGATTGAACTCAGGCCCTTGCACTTGCCAAGGAAGCACTTATTTTACTGAGCTATTTCCCCAGCTGGCCATTTTATTTTCAAACAAACAGGACTTCAAGCCAAAGCTAAGAAAAAAAGAAACAAATAAAGATGTTATATATTGGTTAATAGAATTATTCATTTGTATTAACGAGAGATAATAATTAAAAATGCTTTTGCACCAAAGCACAGTGCACTTAAGTTCATAAAATAAACATTAATAGATGAAAAAGATGAGATAAACATCAATACAATTATGATGGGGGACCCGTAACACTCCATTATCACAAACAGAAAAGGAGACTTCATACCAGAGATGCGAGGATGATTCCACATAAACAAATTAATAAATCTAATTCATCAGATACATAGAAACAAGCCCAAATATCTTATGATCATCTCAATACATAGAGAAAATATATATGAAGAAATCCAACATCCATTCATAATGAAATCTCTGAAGAAAAGAGGTGTATAAGGACTTTATCTAAACCTTATAAAAGGTGTTTATGACCAACTTATTGACAACCTCATATTAAATGGCAAAACCTGAAATCTTATTATCTATTATCATGTACAAAACAAAGATATCCACTATTATCATTTTAGTCCAATATAGTCATTGAAATCTTATCTAGAGTAATCAGGAAAGAGAAAGAATATATGAAATACATGAATAAGGAAAGAGAAGGGAAAAGGGATACATGTAGAAAAAAACTAAATAAAAGTAACATTATTGGCAGATATCAAAATTGTATACATCCAAGAAAATTCAAAAATTAAAATTCAGGGAGCCTAGGATGGAGAGTGATGGCTGCTGTAGCTGTGGCTGTTCGCGAGGA